AGAAAACCGGAAGTGGCACTGTAGCTCAAGTGGTAGAGCGCTCGCCTTGAGCTGAAGAGCTGAGGGACAGCGACTAGGCCCAGAGTTCAAGCCCCACGACCGACAAAAAAAAAAAAAAGATCTGGTGGAATGGCTCAAGTGGTAGAATGCTTTCAAGCCCTGAGTGTTGAAACTCCACCACAAAAAAAAATTAAGTTCCAAGAACACATGATCAACAGATTATGATGCCTTATAAGGGAAAGGAAGCATGTTAGAAATAGTACTTATTCAGTGACTAATATGTGCCAGGTCTTAACAGCTCGACAAGGTAGATATCCCAAGTTTACATCAAGAGGGAAATTAGAAATCAGAAATACTAAGTAACATGTCTCACACATTAAGTGGCAGAGACAGAATTTAAGCCAAGTCTTGCATGCCAAAGCCTCGCTTTTCCACTATACCACATTTTCTCATTTGAAAGGATGGGTAGAGAGAAAGGAACGGTTTGTTCATACATGTAATTAACAAGCATTTCTAGATGAAAGCATTGTAGAAATACTATTAAAATGTAATATAACAGTTTATTTTTTATATGAGCTGAATATCTATAGTATCAGCGATAGAGGTTAAAGAGGTCGAAGCAGGAGGTTGCTTTGGTACCTAACATAATTTAAGACCAACCTAGGCAAAGTAATGACACTGTCTCAAAAAATGTTTATATGATTAGATTCTTATCCATCATTTACTTTTGAAACTTTACAGGTAGATGGACTACAAGGCAATTGCCCAACAAGCTAACCAAGAAGTTTTAAGTTACAACCAAGACACATCTGGCTGGAAATTGGTTAAAGCTTCAGTAAGGAAAATAAGTTAAATATGTTTTAAGGGTTTGTTTTTAATGATAATTCATAGTAAGAACATTTTTTTTTTTTGCCTGACACTGGGGTTTGAACTCAGAGTCTAGCTCTACCATTTGAATCACGCCCTTAGCCCTTTTACCTTCAGGGTTTTTTTTACCAGATAGGTTCTTGCCTTTTTTGCCAGGATTGGCCTTGGGCTACAGTCCTTCTATTTATGCCTCCCGAATAGCTGCGATTTATAGACATGAGCCACTACATCTGACTTGTTAATTGAGAATGGGGTCTTTCTAACTTTTTGCCTGGACTGCCCTTGAACTTTGATTCTCTATGTCCCAAGTAGCTGGGACTACAGATGTGAGCCTCTGTACCCAGCACTCATTGTAAAGCAACTTTTTAAAAATATATTTCTTTTAGAAACCAGAAGAAAAGGTGTCTTTACTTCTTTTTTGTTTTCATTTTTTTTTCTGTATCTGACAGTTAACTTATTTCTGGATTTTTATTCCCCTTTGAGAAAAAGATAACTGTGTTCAGCAAGGCTTCTAGAAGATTCCTTGGAAGTCTGTGAGTATAATTTTCTATTTACAGTCATTGTGTTAAGTTTAGTGGCATTACCATAAAGCAGCATTCAATGCTTCATATTAACTATAACAGATTATTTAATATTGATCAGGAAATAGGGGTTATGAAGTCACTGGACTAAAATATGAGGCTAAGAAAAGTTAATGCTAATAAAATAGAAAATGTGCATGTACACAAAAGTATTCCTTCTAGGCTAAGCATATAGTTTCTTGGTAGAGAACTTGCCTAGATTATCTGGGTTCTAGCTCCTGGGTTCTATCTATCTATGCACATGCATGCACACACAGGTGCATGCACGTGTACACATACACACACACCCCTCGTGAATTGTTCCCTAAGAGAAAATTTTGACTCCAAGAAATAATTACTAGAAAAACACTTTGGTATTTTCTTGCTAATCATAGTATTTTATGGTTTTTAAAACCTTCCATCTTTCCCTTAAGCACTAAAGAGTAAGGGTTTGTTTCATTTTATTTCTCTATTAGCAACTTTTAAGACTATTTTTGAGGATCCTACTACTTCAAGTATGCTAAAATGTCATTACTGCCAACAAATTCGATACCATACCCATCAAAATCCCAATGATATTCATTGCGCAGATTGAGAAATCAATTTAAAAAGTCATCTGGAAGCAAAAAAAAAAAAAAAATGGCCACAAAAAAAAAAAAGCCCTAAGTAGCTAAGCAGTCCTGAGCATACTAAAAGTATCACAGACTTTAGGCTATGCTACAGAGCCACAGTAACAAAAGAAGCTTGGTGCTGGCACATACACTATGGAAATCAGTACTAACATTGCTCAAAAACCTAAAACTAGAACTGCCCTTTGATCAAGCTATACCGTTCCTTGGCATTTATCTGAAGACTGGAAGACAGGATACAATAAAGACACTCGCACACCCACACTCAGTACAGCACCTCTCACAATCATCAAATAGCTCAGAAGCCTACACCCATGAATGAAGATCTACATCATTTGCAGTGAAAAGGATACGTCTTGAAAAGAAATAATAGTGAAATAAGCCAGGAGAGGGAAAATGTTTTCTTTCATATGTGGATCTTAGATGCAGAATTCAATCTATCATCTAAACACACGCAGGGGCATAAGCATATATACATAGTCAAGCTGATTATAGTATATCCAGGAGTGAAACTCCATGGAGTAATCATTAGAAGCAATTAACAATTTAACCAAATGAATATGAGGAAGCTGAAGCATGCTTTGAAAGAGGGGAATGTAGTAGAGAGGAGGGAAGGTGATAAAGGTAATAGTAAATGAATACAGTCATCATCATGTGTACATGTGAAAAGACAAGTGGGAAACATGACTGGTGAGGGAAAGGGCAGGTAGAAGGGTAGTATTGTGCTGGCATTTAAAATCGGGCCTTGTACTTGCTCGGCAGGATCTCTACTATGTGAGCCATGCCACCAGCATGGCTTGTGTACAGGAAAACAGTATGAATGATTATATATTTATACATGTATATATACAATATGCACATAGATCATCACTACATATTTATTATAAGTTTATATTCCCCAGCCTGGAGTGAAAAGAAAGTGAGATTGTAATTACATTTGGGAAATCTAGAGGATCTTAAATTTTCCAGTGCTTCAAAACCTTATGGTTTTCACATCTGTTGTACGGCTAGTGAAGATCTTCTCCCAATCTGTGGGCTTTGTATTTACCTTGCTAGCTATGTTATATTTGATTTTGGTACCTTAGGTATTTTATATATACATATCTGAATTAACGGAAGGGGAACAACAAAATGATGAGACAAAGGACAAAGGACAAACCAATGCAACAGCAATACTCACAAGACAATATGTTAGAAATAAACTGTACAACTTGGGGGGAAATCGGGGGGGGGGGAGAAGGCCAATGAGAGAAAAATGAAGGAGGTAAAAAGTTTAACAAGAAATGTACTCACTACCTTATGTATGTAACTGTAACTCCTCTATACATCACCTTGACAATAAAATTAAAATTTAGATAAAATGGAAAAAAAAACTTCATAGTTTTAAAGACTTGTAACTAATCAAAGAAACAAGAATTTTAATTTAGGAAGAGTAATTATGTGCTCTTAGACTGTAGAGTATGCTCCAATACAAGTTGCCATACCAGAGTTTGGGGAAAGTGTAACCTCTGAAACTACTTGTGGGAGGGTCAACGCATGTTTTAAAAACACTACATACCACACTTTCTTTTTAGAGATTGATTCTATGGCTTAGGAATTTCTAAAGAAACTGATTTATGGGGCTGGGAAGGTGGCTCAGTGGTAGAGTGCTTGCCTTGCATGCCTGAAGCCCTGGGTTCGATTCCTCAGCACCACATAAGCAGAAAGAAAAAAAGCCCGGAAGTGGCACTGTGGCTCAAGTGGTAGAGCGCTAGCCTTGAGCTGAGGAGCTGAGGGACAGTGCCCAGGCCCAGAGTTCAGGCCCCACGACCAAAAAAAAAAAAAAAAAAAAACTTTACTTAAAAATTAGTAGCAGAAAGTAAAATTAAAATTTAACTTCACCCACCTGATTATCATTATTTAGAAAGTCTTCAAGAAAATCTTTAGCACTCTTTGCCTTTGAAGTTTCTTGAGGACTATCATCAGAATTAACAGGAACAGGAGATTTGCTAAACAGGATTTAAAGAATACAAAACAAGTGGGTTTTCAAAAAAAAAAAGTAGGGCAATACAAATGTAAGGATTCCCATTTAAATACAAGTGATTCATTTTAATGTTTATGGTAATTCTGCCATCTTCTCCCTAAACTGACATCAGGAGCCAACCTATCCTTATCCCTTTACTTTTCCTTTCAATGGCTAAGAAAATACTACATAGAAGGGACTATCTATTAACTTAGGTATAGAAGAAACTATCTAAATCTGCCTTCTCCTTTGAAAAGGTAAAAATCTAGGGGCTCTAGAAACAAAGAGTGAAAAGCATGTCTGTGATAGAAAGTCCTGAAGATTCCCTGGGTTTGAGGTAAACCTCACACATTTTACCTCACACAAAATAACTGTCTATGAAGTAGGAGTTTCTAGACTGACAACCAGCTCAGAGAGTTATATATAAGCTATCGATTCTGAGTCTTTAACTCCCATTTCCTGTACATAGAGCAGGAAATGTTTCGACTTATCCCTACTTTCACTGTTATACTGAAATAAACCCTTGCCAATAAAGAAAGACCCAGGCACCAAAGGACCTATAGCTACTCAGGAGGCTAAGATTTTGGTTCAAAGCCAGCCTGGGCAGGAATTCTATGATTCTTATCTCCAATTTATCATAGGTTAATTACACAAACAAAAACAATCTTAGGAACTATAACAATCTATACAATAAACTCTATTTTTAATGGACCATCATGTAAAAAAAAAACCTGAAAGTAAAATGTAAATGAAAACAGGTAACACTAATAGGATGGGATGAAGATTATGTTTTAAATAAAAATAAGAATTTCAAAACTCGTCTGCAAAGTAATTGAGTGAAGATACATAACAGTAGTGAAGCAATTAACCTGTAACAAGGCTAAATTTTCTATAATGTACCTGTATATGACACATTACACCACCTTGTGGTATCAAACAAAAATTACAATTTAAACCTAGCAACACAAAGCTACAAGATATAAAAGTACAATGTTAATACAATTGCTAATGATCACTACGTTATTTTAAAATAAGTGATATTCAAATGACATTTTTTTCATTTGTTAAACACTGTCACTTGCTTACAAAGTAATAGGAACATTGTCCCAGGATCTTTCTGCTTCAAGTTTATCCAATGAACAGGGACTGTTGTCCTTTTTCATAGGCGTGGGTGACTCTTCAGAACACTGCTCTAGATTTCTCTTGGCCTTCAGGATAAGCAATTCAATTTTGTCACCTAATTTTAAAAAATTAAAAAAAGAAAGCAAAACAAATCTCATAAAGTCAACAATTAGGATATGCATATATTAGCTAGGTCACACAAAATGGTTCAATCTATTTCAGCTAGTTGGGAGACATCCAGGGGTTTGATGAGGCCAGTCCAAGCATCTCAACCAATGTCTGGACTCAGTGGTGTGAGTCTGTTATCCCAGTTAAAGGGAAAACACAAGGGTTGGGTGTAGTAGCATGCACCCACAAATTCAGGGAAGCTTATTGTTAAAGTATAAGGATCACAGTCCAGGCCAGTCTGGAAAAAAAGTGAAACTGTACCCCCAAAATAAACAAGGTAAACACCTGTAATCCTACCTACTCAGGAAGCTGAGACCTACAGGATTTCTGTTCAAAGCCAGCCCTGACAGAGAAGTCTGTAGCCTCCATTTCAATATAACCAGCAAAAAGCCAGACTGTTTAAGTGTGGCTCAAGTGGTACTGTAGTAACTTGCAAAAAAAGCTGAGTTCAGGGCTCAATACTGGCAAATAAAACAAAGGAAAGAGAAGCACCAACACAAAATAGGGGCTGGTAGTATGGCTCAGAACTGCTACTAACCAAGAGGCCTTAAATTCAATCTCTACTACTGCCAAAACAAAAAAGCCTTTCTATAACAACTAACGTTTTAAACTATCCCAAATATCGCAAATATGAACTACTATATGAAAGAACTTCGGTATCCTAAAAAGTTAATTATTGGCATAAAAATTCCACAAAACTTTTAATTATGAAGTCAAATGCGCAGCAATTCCCTTGGTTTAAAAGAAACGAAAACAAAGTATTACCACTGAATGGCTTTTCGGATTGTTCTGGGAGAAGTGGATTCTCACACTGAGCCTGGTTGGGTTCAGAATCACATTTGTATTTGTTATGCAATCCTTTAGCATCACTCAAGGAATTTGAAAAGTTTGAGGGCTCAAAAGAATATTCACAACAATCCATTTTAAGCCGAGAAGTTCTTTGTGCTTGGTAGCTATGTCTGGGGGAACACTGATCTTCTTTCAATATTCTATAAACTTCTTGACTATCTGCATCAGGTAGCAAGTCTTGATTGTGGAGCCAGACTGGATATTTGGAATCAGGTATGCTAGTTATCCCAGAAACATTAAGGTCAGATTTCTGGCTAGTGAGCCATCTCGGATAATTCTTTTCAGGATTGTGCTCTGAACTGTCCTTGAAAGATGATTCTTTGGGAAAAGATGGCTCTGAAATTAAAACTTTATTAGTCCTATTCAAAATTTTGGGATTTTTTGGCCTACCACATTGCTTTCCATTCACATTTGTGTTTACAACAGAACTGTCTAAGTTATTCTTGCCCATGGGAGTGGAGGATTCTTGAAAATTTGGATTCCTTTCCAATGAACCTGGTCTTCCCATGTATTTCTTGCTTTTCTTGCTTGGTCGATGACCTGGTCTAACGTAAGTGAGAGAAAAAGATCCATCTGCTGGAAGTCTTAACAGGTCATCAGTTGTAAGGCTAACAGAGTCTACATCATTAATAGTCTCTCTTCTATAAGATAATGAATTTGAGTGCTGTTTGTGATCAGGATTTTCAAAAGCTGAAAAACAAAGCACAGTTCTAATTATCTTCTTCTATTACATGTAATATATTAAACAATGATAATTAATCATTTAAGAATACTTCTTGCAGCTTTCCCCCATTCTCATTCAAGTTTTGATGGAAGTATGAAACATGCATATTGGAAAATAAAATGTACTTCCTCTCTTACATATCTTCAATGTTTAATTGCTATTGTCTCTAGTCACATGAATTTTCTTATGTTCTAACTTCATTTTTTCAACTTTTTCCATGTAGACATGCCTGATACATGAATACAATCATGTTAATATCTGTCACTGCATACTGGTTTTAACAGAAAAATGTACTTTTAGGAAGAAAATAATTTGTTTCCTCTCACCTCACCCTGGATTTGCCTACACAGAACACTGTTTTAATTCTTCTTGTAGAATATATTGTCCACGTTTTTGTAAGAGCTGAATGTAAACTTTTTCTTTTCTAGGTCCAGTCTATCATTGCTTAACAGACCATTAATCAGCTTATCTACACCTATATCTTCCAGGCTCTTTGGAAGCCTGATAAAGGACAAAACTCAATATGTTCTAATTATTGCCCCATAGAATATAGACAAAAAGACTAATATTAGCCCTATCCCATCAATTAAAAGTTAGCAAATATAAACTCAGAAAAACTTGAATTTGCTTGAAGTCACTAAGCTATTTAATATGAATCATCATATAAACACTCATTCTATCATGCTACAGTAAAATAAGGATCTAATATTACCTTCTCTAGCTTATGCTCAAAAATCAAGAGGATCTTAGGTAGAAAATCCTGGGAAAGGTTTAACTTATAAGGATACGGCATTCTCAGATGCTTCAAATAACTGCCCATAAGAAACAAAAATTAAAGTATACCTTTGTTTGTTTTATAACTATAATTTGAGAATCCTGACATATTAGCAGAACGTTCAATGCTAATTTTTCCAGTGCTTGCATCAGGATTTAGTTGGCTCAGATCAAAATCATCTATATAAGCCTGTAGAGCCTGAGAAGCAGAACTGTATAGTTTATTCTTATAGTGAAAAGAGCCATCAGAGTTGGAGGAATTACTGCTACCCAGACCACAGCTTGCCAGGAGAGATGATACTGAAGATTCCTGAGAATAAATTCTGTGTTTCGTGTTTGATTTTGCCATCGCTGTTTCAAAATGAGTGGTTTTACTCATTTTTCTTAAAAATAACTGTAATATAAAAATAATAGGTTAGAGTTGCCAGTTAATAGGAGTAATGATTGTTTAGAGAAAAAAATATTAACATGTAAGATTTAAAATTTTTTATTTAGCAATAAAGTCAGTTATCTCTAATAAATACTTCTATTTAAGTACTTAAAGTTTACTCTCATGTTTATTACAAATTATTTCATCAATATTAGAGAAATCACTTATTAAGCATCTACTATATGCTTGGATGTATGTAAACAACTTACGTTCAAAATAGAAACGGAAATATCAAGGAAAGAACACTCACTATTTTTAAAGTCAAAAAACTTCTGGTAGACTGTCTCTTATGGACATATTCTATGACATCACAATACCCTACATTCTTCTACACATATTTTTGAAATCATAAGCTTAATCCTAGAGTTAGACAATTAATGTTTCTAAAACCATCAAATAAGGCATCAGAAACAAGAACAATGGACATTCTCTTCTTTCAGTACTGTAATGGCTAATATCAAACTGTAGCCAACCATTTCCCCTCAGAAAAGACTGAATGCAAAATAACCTATGATAAAACAGCACAAAACTCAACAGCTACTGTAGGGTCTTTTTCTAAAATAACACTGCTAATAATCACTTCCTGATCTTCAATTTTGGTACCCACCTCACCATTTTCAATTCTTCTGTTAAACAGATTTAGTTCACCTCTCTTTTAAGGGAACCAATCTGGAAATTGAGTTAATGGGCTCAGGCTCATCTTCCTGTTTTTCATTATTCAAATTGAGAGAACTCCTGTCTACATTGCTATAGTTTTAATGGGATCTATATTCAAAGTAATAAATAACAAAAAGGTGAAGCACTGATTACACAACATTCATTGAAAATTCAAGGATTTTCTATACTACAAAAGGATTAACACTTAGGACTTAACAGGTGTCATGATGCTGGGCAATAATTTTAGAAATATTTAAGTTATTGACAACTCTGTAATGAAATCCTAGACCTGTCAAATTGTACTTTTTGTGTCACATCAAGCCTTTCTCAATTAGGCATTAGGCAGTGGCTAATGGAAACAACGGGACACAAAAATGGCTACCTACATATCCTTGAATGTTGTGATACTAGTGTCTCCCTTAAGAACTGCTATATTAAGTCAGATTTGCTCCCTCTTTCTCCCTCCTACCAAAGAAGCTTAAAGTCACTCAAATAAAAATGCTTGGATAAGCTTAATAGGAGCCAAACACAGGTTACAAATTTTATTTTGTAAAACGAACACAAAGTCTTAAAAGGGAACGCTACCAGATATTTCTTAAGTGGATGATAATATTTGCTAGTTATTTTCACGTACTAACTGACCCTCCCCCCTAAAAAAAAAAATCTAGAATTGTGGCTGATACCCACAACCTTAGCTACACAGGAGGCTAAGCTCTGGGGATGACTATGGGAAAGAAATGCCTGAGACATGCTCATCTCCAACCAACTAGCAAAACGTTGGAAGTGAAGCTGTTGGCTCCAGGGGTAGAATGGAAGAGGCTGAGGGGAAATCGCTAAGGGGCAGTTCACGCCCCAGTAGTGGCAGACACAAATTCCAAAATTTGATTTTTATCATTAAGTGGTCAAAATGTCTGCAAAAGCAGAATTGTTTGTATATTAAAACAAAAAACAAAAAACCCTACGCACCCATCATCCTGCTCGAATAATCAGCCACATACTCTGTATCCAAAGCCCACTGCCCATCCCCCCCGCCCCCCCACACACACACTCGGTGGTGGTTACGGGACGATTTCGAATCCCCGGCCCAGGTCCAGCCCAGGCCAAGAATGTTACCATTCCCGCCACAAACGCTCGGGCCCGAGCCTCCAAACGCCAATCCACCCCGCGGACCGGACCGCTCCCCGGCGAGGCCAGGACATCTCCGCTACCTGGATGGAAAAATCACAACCGTGATCCGCCGGAAGGGCGCCCGGGAGCCGCGGGGGAAGTCGGCGTGGGCCGATCCGTGCAGGAGCCGAGGATGGACGAGGAGAGCCAAGCCCGCCCCGTCGGGTCCCCGCCCGCCTGCGCGCGCAGCCCCCTCACGCTCCCACCCCGCCTCCGGGTTCCACGACCCCGCCCCCCGGGGTGTCCGAC